GGGCGGGGCATGACACTTTGCATTGTGTACAGAACCAAAGTAGTTCTGAAGTGAATAACTTAAATGTGATTGGTATTTTATCAGGTGTGGTTAGATTGTTCTGGTTCTAGGAGAGCATTCATCTCAACTTGGATAGGACTATTTAGACTAGGAAGAAAGTTTCGAAGTCTTCAGTCAATGACATAGCAACTATAGTGGATTTGTTATGGCTTGTAAATAGTCTGTGGTAAGAATAGAATGTAGTTAATGGAACTTGCTCTGAGCTGGTTCAGTCTTGTGAGCAGTTAAGTGCTTTCAACTCCCATTGACCTCAGTGGGAATTGAGGATGCTGAACCCTGTTTTAGGCACAATATTTGTAGGCAGTGACTGAGACAACTAAGTACTTGCTATTTATACTCAGTAGCTCACAATAGCCTTTTTGGAAGGTAGAAATCTTGGCCAGCATGTTAAGGTAATTTTCCTATTCTTCTTGGAAAGTATCAAGAAAGCTCTTGAAATTTAAACCAAACCACCCCACCCCTTATCAGTTGAAGGATAGATGAGTGTCATCCTCATTTGTTTATTGGGTTTTTTTATTCTTTAAGTCAGAGTCCTGGTTTGGGGCTTATGTACCAGAAAGTTCAGAATCTGTGTTGAGCTCTCATGATATTTTGTGCATGTGTGGGTATACACCAATCCCTTTTTTGTGAAAGTTCACTTTTTTGACAGACTATCTAACATGAATGTGGTAATGAATTTATCCAAGTTGTCATCTTAAGAACAGCTTTTTTATTTTTCATTTTCAGTGTCTAAAACTACCCAGCTGTAGTTGAAGCTGATGGCACCTAATTTAGATTCGGACTGCCTGAGGCTGTTTGCCTCTTTGCACTGAATTGTTGCAAATATGGCTGCTGTGAAAGTCTAAGTACAAAAAATAACAGATTAATATGTCATAACCTCTTAAATTTAAGGTATGTTGTCAGCTAGGTAGGCTTTTTTTCTACTATCTGCACAAATAAGAAGAAAATGAGGCCTCTTTTACTTTAAAAAAAAAAAAAAAAAAATTTGATTTCTGCATCAGTCTGGCTCATTTGTTGAGTTTTTTCCATTTAAATTAAAACAAAAAAAGACATCCTGTCCCATACCAAGATGCTGGCTTGTCTTTACACTTTGAGTGTACCACCTTGAGCAAATGGCTCATGGATTTTCTTAAACACAGAAAAGCATAAACGACACGTGCCTTCTGAGGCTGGGGGCGGGCACAGTGACCACCCACGGGTGGTGGCAGTGCCAGCGACAGGGCCATGGTGACGGCGAGTGGGGACCGCCATAGTGATGTCGGCAGCAAAGCCATAGGCAGCCACAGCACTGTTGGCAGCAAGGGGGTTGGGGAGTGGCAAGCAGTAAGCGGGGACCGCCCACAGCTGCCAGCAGCCTCATCAACAGTGGGTGGGGAGGGGGGTGGCGACTGCCCTCAGAAGCTGGCAGCAACTTTGGTGGTGGCCAGTCTCTGGGGGGCACATGCCCCCCTCCCCCACACACATACGTCACTTGTGCAGAAAAGAGATATTTAGTAGGCCTGTGCGAAGCAGCAAGTATTCGCTTTGGATTCGAATTCGGCCGATTTGGAAGGACTGATTCGATTCAGTGATTTGAATCACTGTCCTGATTTGATTTGGCTGATTTCGGATTCAGAGGTTTGGTGCAGATTCGGAGATTTGGCCATAGACTATAATGGGGCATCACTACAATACCTATAACTTTGTCATTTTTTTGCAGATTCGGATGAAAACAGCAGGAATGGTAGCCCCTTCTGAGGGTATGAAGTCTGCCAAGTTTCAAGGAGATAGGTGCAGGGGTCAGAGATGACCTGAGCAGGGTGCAGGGCCCGGGGCAAATCAGCCTGTGCGGGGCCCTGCCCCCGTATGCCCCAGACACGAAGCAGCCAGCAGCAGATTTGGGGAGGGGGGGTTGCTGAGTGGCTGGATGCAAAGCCAGTGGTGGTGCTGAGTCTCTGTGGCTGCTCTGCCTGGCTCTGCAGGGCCTCCCAAAGCGCAGGAACTAGGGCAGTCGCCCTGATTTGCACCCCCACCCCCAGCCCAAGAACAGCCCTGGCAGGGGTTTTTGTGAAAGTGCACATCAAATTGTTGAAAGCAAAACTGAGAGAGAGACCAATCACTTTTGTGTGTGTGTGTGTGTGGGGAAAGATCACAGTCACTGGCCAGTTACAAATGTCAATATCAGAGCAGTCTTTCCCCTACCCCTCTCAGCCTTTTCCTTGTATGGAAGATCACCCCATCCCCCTCCGTCTTCTCAGTTTCTGTTTGATGAAAGCCTTCCAAATCTCTGAGTCGATTTGGGGGCTTCTGATTCGATTCAGACCTTTTAATGAGTCTCCCAGTTCGATTCGGATTCGGGGGTTCAGCTGCCGAATCTCCTCCGAATCAAATTGGCTACTAAACCTTCGCACAGCCCTAATATTTAGGCCCGTAGCAGACATTGCATTTGTCACGCATTACATGTAACTATTGCATCACAGATAGTTGCATACCAGCTGGCCATATGTTAAAATTATGGTGGATGCTTCCACACAACAAAGTTGTAGTTTCAGTGAGCAGTTTTGTGGATGATGGGCTACTTTTTATCTAAGGATAAACTGTTGCGGCATGTGGTATGTTACTCTCGCGCATACAATGCTTGACAAATGTCATATCTATCAAGAGGCCTTAATCTCCTGAATTGAGGAGTGTGAAATGTAAATGCAAGCTGGCGTATTTGTTGCAAATTCTCTAATGCAGTGATGTTTTATTCAAATGAGCTGATTAAGCAAAAAGCAATTGTTTTATCAAATAATTACCTGATCTTGTTCTAGCAGGTAGGTCCAGAGACTGTGGCTGTTTTTGTTTTTAAGGGGTTCGGAGGCAGAGGAAGTAGGCTGCTCAAATGTTCAGGTTAAGCTTTCAGAACAGCATTAGATGTGAGAGCTGAAATGTTGCCATAGTTTCTTCTTTTGAAGATTTTAATTTGGAAATACTAGTAGTAGTGCATGTGTTCCTGAGCAGATGTTGCATGTAGTTCTGTCTGTATCTGTTTGGGATGGGGTCTGGTGTAGCACTAAGTAACAACTTCCATCCACATGTTTGTCAGACTGTCAGTCTACAGTTGCCTGAATATCTTTTAACCAGTTACTCTATAATGAACTGCATTTTATTTAGACTAGTGTGATTTTGAGACTCCATTGGATCACTTCACCAATTACTGTTCCTCAAATTATACTGCTGGGAAGGACAAAGGGGGGGGCATCTCTGCCCTTCAGATGTGGTGGTGGCTCCTGAAATGTTCACAATTTATTCAGTGTATGGGTCTTGAAGTATTGGTATCAAGGTTGGTCAGTAATTGTTCACAATTTACCCTTGTGGGTAGGGGGTTGCTGAGCCAAAGCTAGTTGAGTCTGTTGTGAAACTATTTAGAAAGAAATAGATTAAGGAGGCTAGAACTTTGAAGGTCTTTTTATTATTAAGGTGCATCTTCTAGTGATTTAGAGATGTGGCTTTGTCTGCTGGCTCTTTAGGAGTGTTTGTTTCAAAATATTTATGTTAAAATAAGTTCTTTAAGGTGTATATTTCAGATACAGTGGTATAATAAAAATGTAAAGTTTAAGATGTAGTTCAACAGTTGTTCTAGGCTTAGTTTGCAAGTACATACATATCCTTTTATTTAGGAGGAGCATGATTTGTCTTATCCATACTTTGACAGCTGTATGATTGCAATTAAATTCTTTCATTCAGTTAGTGATCCCACTAGACTTGCAAGGCTTGTTTATTAATGAGACTTGCCCATGTTTTCTTGATCAGTTTACTTTTAGATTAAAAGGAAAACCTTGTTGCTGTAGGTTCATCAGGGCCTTAATTTTAGAATTTGTAACATTGAAAGTCTGTGTGTGCATGTGTGCGCATATGCAGGGTAGGGGAGGTTATACAGTGTTGATATCTAAGAACTAAATGTGTATGTGAAAGAGTTTAAATTTCATGTCTTCTGAATTTTTTTTTTTTTAAAGACCATTAATTCAGTATTTCTCATTCTGCTTCTTAAAACAAATGTTTTGTTTAGATCACAAAGTCTACATTTGGCACAAACGTAGTGAGCTGCCAATCGCGGAGCTGACAGGGCACACACGTACTGTTAACTGTGTCAGCTGGAACCCACAGATTCCATCCATGATGGCCAGCGCCTCCGATGATGGCACTGTTAGAATATGGGGACCAGCACCTTTTGTAGACAACCAGGATATTGAAGGTAAAACTGCTTGTGTACAGATTGTACTAGGGGCTTATGCAAGTGAAATGGACTCCCAGCCAGTTGCTTTGGATCCATCATTTAACATGAAACACTTAATAGCTCCTGGGTTTTGGACGGAACCATTGCCTCTTCTGGGGAAAAAACAAAAAACCCTCTGTCGTCTTCAGAATCATCAGTATGCGTATTCCACAAACTTCACTAGTGAAGCCATTGGAGCCTTCCAGTTCTCATTTTAAACCTCCAGTATGGAGGTGGAGTGAACTGCAAGGATGTCCCCTCTGGAAAACCCAAACCAATGACCTAGTACAGCCAAGGTTATGGCACTGCAAGCCCCCACTCTTGCCACCACTTAACCGTGTCCAAAAGAACTGCCTGTTTCAGTGAGAGGGTCCACAGCCATCCAGTCTGTGGCTCATCTGTTTGAAACTACTGATCAGGTAGGTGTTGTAGACTTCCATCCAGTAGTAATGGCCTAAATTAAATAAATCCTAGACTTAAAGGCAGGGCAGGGCGGTACCTTAGAAACTGATTCTGAGGCATGAACTCTTGTAGGGGACAGCCTACTTCCGTTCATAGTGTCTGATTAAGTAGGCCACTGCCTATGAAAGCTTATGCCTTTGAACCAGTTAGTCTCTAAAGTGTTACCCTGCCCAGCCTTCTGTCCGACTTGAGACTAATCAGCTAACTATGTCTCCGGACTTAAAGGTGGGATAGTATATACTGTTTTCAGTCCCAGCCCACTCCAAATATTTTCCAACTTCCTGTCCTCAATGTTTCCATTCCTTTCTTTTCATTCTTTCCTGACCCTACTTCTATTAGATTTCAGGCTCCTTTCCAGCCCCCATCCCAAAGAAAACATTTGTATAACATAACAGGAAAGGGATAGAACTTTCAGTGCTGTGGATTTCTTTTAAGTAACTGCATGATACTTGGGAACAGCTAGATTCACTTTCTTATGCTTCAGGAACCTTTTAAAATATGGCAAACAGTGAAAACATGTTAATTACAAAAGGTTGATGTTCCCCAAATCCAAGTGAAGCAGTATTGGTAATGTGATATAATTAAAGCATGTTAAGGGGGACATACAGCCTTATTTCTTTGAAGGGCTAAATAGTGAGATGCCAATTTAAAAAAAAATGTTGCCATGCTGGATGAGTTTCCAGTTCATTACTTTGTTTTTCATTGTATTGCTGTTTCATTAAGTAGCATATGTTCAGTAACAAAACTTCCTTCCAATACCCTGCATTAATATCCTGAGAGGAGAACAAGTTATGCTTAAATCAACAAAACAAAACACCTTTTAGCAATTATATTTCTATCACGGATACTTCTTGATGAAGTGAGAAGCTGTATAATTAAATACACTAAAGGAACTGGAGAGAGTAGTTCTATGTAAGGGAGTGCCAGTTCTCTCTTTCTCCATTGCATGGTAGTAAAACCTTATTTCTATATTTTTATCTAAGTATATGCGAATTTGTATTTGTAATACAGGTATTTAAATGGACGTAAAAATACTTCAAAGTGTAATATTTTTCCCCCTTTGTTTCATCTTGTCTTTGCTCAGAGGAATGCAGTAGCATGGATAGTTGATGGAGAATTTGGAGCAGACGACTTCTGTTTAACTTAATTAGTCGTATTTTAAATGGCTTGGGATTTGGTGCAAACAAACATGATTGATAGCTGGACAGACATGCTCGTCATGAAAAAAGAACCATTTCTGAAGCCCGATCGGGGCCAAACATTTACCACCTTGCTTCATAGTAACCAGTTGAGATGAAGCACGTCGTTTAGAGCGTTGTTGGACACCGTGTTGAATTACCCCCCATCGGTTGTGAAGAACTGTGCTACATTCAGGCTAACCATTGAACTCAGTATATATATTTTTTTCCCTCCTGCCTTTTGTCTGGCGGGCTACTGTTCTTGTTGCTCTTCTGTGTAATGAAGTTTAAATGCTTGTTTGGAAAACTTTATTTAACAGTTTAGAAGGCTTGATAGAAAGAGTGCTTTAGTCTGAAGAGTACACATTGGATAGGAAAGTATTTCCTTCTCTTGTTTCTCTAAATCTCTCTCCGCCTTATTTAGCTTGAGATCTTTGCAGCTTGGTTCATGGATTCTAGCCTTGCCCGTTGCGCAGTATATATAAATCCAGGTGATAAACAAGTGAACTATGTCAAAAGCACTCAATATCACATTTGACAAAAAGTTTTGTACTTTTCACATGGCTCGTTGCCCTGTAAAGGGGTAAACAGCACAATTTTTTAAAAAATAAATTATTTATAGGATAAAAATGACTTCATTTGTATACATTTGGAATTTAAACCAGCCTAAAAAGTGTCGTGCAATGCAGTATAATTAATGTTCTTCTAGAGTGTTGTGCAAGACCTGGCCAAAAGCAGTGGCTGTAAGGAGTTTTACACAGGCTACAAAAAGTATTGTTTTAAAAGAGAAACCTCATTGCCCATCCTAATGAAGAAATTGGATTATTTAGAAGCAAGAAACATCAGGTTGCAGCATGAGACTACTAGGTTAATAAACAGGACAAAGTTTGGATTACATAAAAATAAACTTCTTGCATATATTTAATTTGTGTAGCAATATTAGGAAAGAGCTGGAACAAATGATTACTTTGTAATTTTAATAAGAGTACCTGACCTTTCAAATTTCAGTACATTTTTAAAACTTCCCTTTTTAGGTTAAGGGAAGAATTACACACCTGCAATATTTTCTTTAGCCTTTGATTAACAAATGCATAGATTTTTGAGAATATACTTTAAAGTTTACAGGTTAAATGTCTCTCTTGGATCTTGTTCTGAACTGGTGCTGTGGAATAACCTGACATTTTAGGAATGGTTCATTTAATTTCCTGTGTAAAAACACTTAGTTTGAGTACTTTATGCTTCTTAAAATAAACAGATGGCCTGGTATCTCTATTGTGCTTCTGCACTACTCGGCATTTGGTTCATGGTATGGTTTTGAATTCCGTTTTTTCTAATTGGAAGGTAAGGGTAGTATTGGGACTGTTTGGAAATAAGACATTGCATGCCCTCTTCCTTGCTATCATGAAAGGTGTGAAGAAAGGAGTGGATGAGGCTGTTTCCTACTGAAGCTAAGTGAATCTACACTAGTGTGTCATTGGTTGGATGGAGGGATAACTTTGCTAGGGTCCATGGAAAGACAGAAACATTCATGGCTGGATAACAAGAATGAGAGAGATGGCACAGTACTGGTTCCCTTTTTAAAGGGAAAGAAAACCAAATGGATTCTCCTAAGGTTTACAAAGCAGGATGGATTTGAACAGATTATGGCTGTTTAACAGGTTCTTCTCATGCTTGTGTCTAATCTTAAATCCCATTTTCTGTGTACTTGCTGAGATGAACCTTTTAAGCTAACCAGTTTTATTCCTCTCTGTGGTACTGCCAAACTGCAACGAGGGCTGCATAGCATATGCATATCCTCAATCTAGTTTTTTTTTTTCTTCAGCTTTCCACAATCTGCTTTAAAATTGCACTGTGAGAATTTAATAATCCTGGAACATGAGGATGCATAGATTTTTTTTTTTTTAATTTTATTTTTTTTAAACAATGAAAAACTAGGATTTTCTCCCTCCCCCCCACTTGCTCATTCTTTAGACCAGCATTCTGTGATTCTTGCCACAGTTGCAGTATGACTCCTCCTGTGGCAAGAGAGGGGGAAAAAAACCCTAGGCTATTATAACTTCTTTGAGACTCAGAATTTATTTGAAACCAAATTTGTATACAGCATTTACATATTTGAAGTACAGTATAATTGTTTAGCAGCAGCAATATTATTATTCATTACTTTCAAAGCTTCATATGTATTATGTTAAATACATATGTTAAGGTGGTATTTTTAAACTTTTAGAGCATGACATTCTCCTGATTTTTTTTGTTTTTGTTTTTGTTTTTTTTACAACTTTAATTCTTTTATAATGATGTTCAGTTACCAGAGTTACTTACCGTGGTGCATTTAATTGATGAGGTGCCCAGTCTGGCACTGCTTGCTTGCCCCATGTTGCCCTTAACTTTGTATGAGTTTTGAGCACATAAAGAATGCAGGCCAAAGCTCCTACTGTATTCCCAGAAGTGGTTTTTTTTGTTGTTTTTATTTATTTATTTAGATAGATAAATAAATAAATTCCTTCCACAGGGTTTGTGTAGCATACTACCTGTAAAAACTGATAGCAGGAATCCTACAGCCAGTAAAAGCTACAGAGGCACATCTAGCCAATACCTACCTTTTTTTATATAGGGGTACATATCTAGGAATATTAATTTAAATTTGTTAGAAAAACATTCTCCCCTCCATCTCCAAACCCAAGAATTACAAGCCTCTAAAAGTCAGTATATACTCTTAAAATATACAGAAAACAGTTTAGAGGAGCTAAGGAGAAGTACACGTTTTTATTTTTCATTTTAATTTAGTTATGTGACTGCAATATAAATGAAAGGCTTATGTATCAGATGGAGTGGTTTATGTCCAGAATTTTTCTTAAGGTTCCTGTCAACATTTTGTGTTGCCTCTATGACTTCTGCAGAAATTGATAGAAAGGAGACTGCATGACAAAAATTGATGGTACATTATTTGATATCAAAATTAGCTGTAAACCTACAGACAGTGAATGATGCAGCTATAGCTACTGCTTTAGGATTAGTCTACAAGAGATTGGCCTAAACTATTTCTAACGTGTCATCACACATTCATTACATGGATTGAAAAGTACTAATACTTTTTGCACATAGACCAAAAAAAAATGAGACTTTGGCAATGGAAAAAGCAAATGCTATTTGCTCATCTGCAATGCGTTAACTTCCATGTGCTTAAAAATGTTCCCAAGCTGGGATTTAAGGGTTAGAGCAAGTTCAAGACACTTGCCTTCAATGATCAGTTATTTCTAGTTACTGATTCTATAATCCTGGGAGAACCTACTATAAACTTGTATTTTACTTTATTTTTGCCTTTGATACTGTTTTGTAGCTGTTTTACAACTCATAATAGCTACAGCTTATTAGCAGGGCAAACCTTTTATGAATTATGCTCCTGAGCTGTTCAGGTAAGTAACTCCTAAGAGAGATGATGGAGCACGAAAGGGGAAATAAGCTGTTACAAATCTCTCCTTCTGGAAAAACATAACTTTGTTCATTTTCCCTCCTTTCTAATATAAATTCTTCAAATCTAAAACAAAGTGAATGTAGTAACTTTACAAGTAGACAAAGATGCAAGCTAGAGAACTGTTAAACTCTTGGCAGTAACTTCTCAGCCTGGTTTCAAGCCAGTAATTTTTAATACAGCCAATCTGCTTAAGCGGAGTGTTTTATGTCTAATGGCATCTCATCACATCAATAAACAACACTCCCACCTTTTAAAAGAAAAAAAAATCTTTAGGATACTTCATGGAAACCAGAACTGACATAACCAGAACTGCCCTATGTTGAGCTAATATATTTTATATGCACAAGGTGGTGGTGGATGGGGGGGACAACACAAGTCTAGTTCACAGTAGAATTTCTGTTGACTGGTAGCTTGCGGAGTGGGCAGGGGAGAAGGGAGAAGACAGACTTTCAGTAGACCTGTGTTCATATCTATATCCCAGAACACGCAAGTTGCCTCAACGTGACTTAGTTTGGAACAACTATTAAAAAGGAGCATCAGTCCTATATTATGGCTTAAAAACCCACATTGGCTCAGGACCATTATTGGCTGTCATTTTATTCAGAAAATGCTAATTTGTAAGAGGATTAGAAAAACTTCATTAACACTTTGACACTTTTTTTTGAACAGGGTGGACTTAATTGAATTGTGTAGTGTTTTTGAACTGCTACAGTAGCTGCCTCTAGTTGCTGAAACACAAATATAAACACATTTCCTGTGTTTTGAATTCAGATGACCTGAATTCAATAAAACTGTGTGAATGTGTTTCCCATGTAGTATGAATGGGGGGTGTGTGTGTGTGTGTGTGTGTGTGTGTGTGTGTGTCCCATAAACAGACAAAGAACTAAGTGTTCTAGGTACTCTTCATGTTTACTGCATACTTTAAGCCACATTGTGTGTGTGTGTGAAGTGTTCTCTGACTTCAAGACTTTGGTTAATACCAGTATATTTTTATAAATTTTAAATTCAATGTGCCCCATGTTTACTTGAGCATTTTTCATTCTTAGGGTAAACGTGCTAGATCTGAATCTTAACATTTTTAGGCACAGATGGAAAAAGTTATTGGCTCTTCGAAAATGTATGGAACAAAAATGGATCCTCAAAGCATGTGTGTACTTACAAACCAAGCTGTAGAGATCAAGACAAGAACTTTATTGTTGATCTCAAAATTTCTAAATTGTCAAAATTTCTATGGAGTTGTGGTGGAACTAGTTAACACTTAGAGCTTTTGGTATGTAATGACTTTGCTATGGACTGATATTAAATGTTTCAAAGGATTGCGTTCTTAAACTTTCTGGATTTTTGTTACTCTCGGATTATATTAAGTAGTTCAAATTTCTTTGCTATATTACATTAAAAACATAAGAATGTTGGGTCTCGTATTTATTTTCACTCATTTTACTAATTATTTACAGTACACCTTTTAACTTTTTTTATTTTATAAATGTGTAGTATGTTAAACATCTTCAAAAATTGTTTGATTGGAACATTAACTTCTGATTTTGTTTTTATTAGGGTTTTTTAAAAAAATACACTTTTTCCATGTCAGTGCACAGCACTTAACTGTTTGTATTCCCTTTCTTTCAATTCAATAAACAGAATGAATAACTGGACTGAACAGTTCTTAAGTCTCCTCAACTTCAGTCACATAGCTGCCATTTGGATGACCCACTTCACCTCTGGCCTTGACAGTGCATTATTTTAACTATTTTTATATTGAGGAAAATTTTATTCGCATCTTAAACTGAATGTATCTAACTTTGCCCATATGTAGACCCCTGTGTTGCTTGCGCAGACTTAACCTGGCTTGTACTTATATAATACTTTGAGATTTGAAGTGCTTTACTTTCAAGGGTCTTACCTGGGGCCTATTCATGTTACAAGAGCATCTGTTCCTTGAATGTTTGTAGTGTGCTTTGTTCCTTGGTATCTATAAATATTACTCCTGTTTACAAGCATAGAAGCACATGCTGAGTGCAAGAGCTTGGTTCTAAGAGTCGGATCACAAAGGCATCTGTCCCTTTTTATATGAAATGAGGCTGGTGACTCAAGCTGCTGTTTAAGCACTGGAGGTAGGGATCCCTTAACTAACATATACCCCTATTCCCATCAGCAGCTACCACCACTATCTCCCATGTATTATGCAGTTGTTTCTCCAAATGTTTAACGTGTCTGTGGAAATGGGCTAACACTTGTTGCTAAAAAAAAAAAAAAAGAATAACCTTCTTAAAGAGTTAATAAGAATAATAGCATTTATTATTATTAAAACTGGCTAACCTCTCTGTACCTAACCTACCCTGTACCTCTCATTCCTCCTATTCATGGAAAACCATCTTGAAAACTAGGTGATCATTTCTAGCTTTTTCAGCCCCAGGGGGTGGAAAATAGCAAAACCTTAATGACACACACAAATGTTTGGGCTGTTCCCCCCCCCCCCCCCCCCCCCC